GAGAGGACAATTTAAGAAGAGTAAAACACATGGCAAATTTTTAATAATCATATATCCTCTAAAAGAGCAAAAACAAAAATAGTTATCATCTCCATTCCTCTCTGGGTTCCAAATTATATTCAGTCTATTTTTGGAGCCTGACTCTTGATTTTACATGTCAATTAGAATTTCTTACAAAACTATTCATAATGACACTTCTAAAATATTTCCTATTTTCTTTCTTATTTCTTATATTTAATTTATTCCAGTTATCCAAAAGAACTAAAAATTAATTAAAATGATGTAATTTCTCTATATTTCTCCATTTTTTGTTCATTAAATATTTGAAGACAAGTATTGAAAAACAACAGGGGAGTCAAATGGCTAGTATATCAATTTCGGCTGTGACATTAGTCAGCACTATATCCTTGGGTAAGTCATTTCACGTGGCTGGCCCTCATTCTCTTCAATTTAAGAAATTAAATTATCTATGATTTTACTCCCTCCAGCCTCTTTATCAGGCTAAAAATAAAAGCTATACAGAAGAGTCTTACAAAAAAAAAGGTATAAACATGTCTTAATGCAGAATTTCTTTGTTCAGGCTAAGCATTATAACACTCTAGCACTGTCTAATTGAATTTTCTATAACCAGAAATGTTCTGTATCTGTGCTATTTAGTATGGTAGCCACTAGTTATGTGTGACCACTGAGCAAGTGAAATGTAACTAATGCTCATGAGGAGTGGAATTTTTTATTTAATTTTAATTGATTTAATATTAAACAACCACAGGTGGCTAGTGGCTACTGTATTGAACAATACAGTTCTAGATCATGAAAAGTCACTGCTAGACAGACCTTTCCTAAGAATGTAGTCTGCCTTGGTATGTCTCTGTCACTGAGGCCGACTGGGCATGCTTGTAAAAGTGGTTAAGTTTCAACTGTGACAGGCACCACAGAGATGCACACACTAATATTTAACTCTCACTCATAACTCTCAGCCACCTACATAAATACTTTTTGCTACTCTCTCTACATTCCTCAGGCTCTATAGTCCATTTCAATGTTCTGGGAAATCATAAGCAAAACATGTTCTAAATGCCATCTTCCCAATAATCGCACTTAAAACTGATTGCTAATGTTTTTAATTAAGTCTAAACAACCTCCATAAGAATGTCAGAAAACATACCTTGGCATCACAATGTCCAACGACTTCAATTTTCTCTGCCTTCAGTTCCACATTTTGCCTTTTGGATGGACTTTTTACTAGCTGCCCTTGAATTTCCACAGAACTCCCAAAAGCCAGTTCTCTATAGTAACAAAAAAACAGCATAAACAAGATATCATTATATGTAACCCTCATTTAAATATGAACTTTGCTATTAGAACATTACAATATTTAATGATAAAAATTTTTACGCTGTATTGGGTTAAAAGTTGCAGGTAGTTAAGAAGAGACTGAAGCAAAGGACAGATGGGGATACTGTTTCAGGAAGATGTTAGAGGAAGAAAGGCTCCAGGATCTTGATTCCAAATATTTGGACTTAAGCCTCAAACTATGAAAAGCAGATTTATTTAGAAAAATCGCTCAGGGGGCAAAGTGAACAGTGGATTAGGAAAATGGGGAGCAGTGGAGATGGAAAAAAAATGAAAGGACTCTCTCTTTTTTAATTCACCTACTGTCGAAGCTTGAATCTGCTACAACCTGAAGGCTTTCCAAAGATGACCCATCATTTACATGCAGGAACAAGACTTCCTTCTGGGATCGAATTGAACGAATCCATCCCTAATGAAGAGAAATATTTCTAAATATGAGTTTAAAACACAAACATTTTACATTTTCATTACACATACACATGGACGACGAATGAAAGCAGAGAAATGTCTTCGTAACCCTGCCTTAACAAATCAATTGCTTTTAGTTCACCCGTGTGCATATATAATTTTATATAATTCTTATCACAGTGAGATACAGCTTTGGCATTCCACCTTTTGTTTTGTTTGTTAATAAAGCTCATCATCCTGAATAGATGCCTGACATTCCATTAGGTTGATGAACCTACTTCATATAACCAATCCCTCCAATATGGGCCATTCCAGGTATCTTCTCCTGCCCCTGCACCTCCTCTGACCTCAACCATTACAAATAACAGGGCATATACTTGAGTCTCTTTCTCCTTTTATGTCAAATTTCAGAGATTATGTATTGACTAGAAATATGGGATTTTTTTTCATTTTACGAAGTATCATAAATAAAGAGTGCTCAAGAAACTTCTCATCATGAATGCATATTAAATGGTACATAAACTTTCAGATACTCTGAATTTAAATGACAGGGAGGTGTGAGTAAAAATGAGATGTCTTCAAGTAGACCAGTGACATTAAACTTACATCTAACTTAAATTTAATTAGCACAGAAATTCAAAGAGAAAATTCCTCTAGCAGACACTGAACAATTGTGAAAAAACTGATGGTGTTTGATTAACCACCAAACCTGGGTAAAGATGATCTTACTTAGAAAAACTATACAGTCATGCGCCACTTAATGATAGGAATATATTCTGAGAAATGCGTCATTAGGTGATGTCGTTGTCGTCTGAACATCATAGAGTGCACTTACACAAACTTGATGGCACAGCCTACTACACATCTAGGCTATGTGGTATAGCCTACTGCTCCTAGGTTACACGGCTGTACAGCATGTTACTGCACAAAACAATATGAGATTAAATCAAGCAAGAGAAAGGATGCCATCAAGAGACATGTAAACAAGATGTATGAGGCTGCTGCTGGTATAACATGGCATATAGTTCTACAACAAACTTTTCTTTTTAATAAGTAAAAAGAGTAGACTTAAAATAATGATAATAGTATAGCAAATACATAAACCTGTAATAGTCATTTATCATCCTTATCAAGTATTATGTACTGTACATAATTATATATGCTTACTTTTAAATAACTGGCAGCATAGGTTTGTTTACAGTAACATCACCAAACACGTAATGTGTTGCACTATGACCTTACGATAGCTCCAATGTCACTAGCCAATAGGAATTTTTCAGCTCCATCATAATGTTATGGGACCACATTTTTTATGCAGTCTGTCATTAATCCAAATGTCGTTATGACTATATTGACTATACTGACGCTTACTTTCCTCATGTCTCCACCATACCCTATATACAAGAAGTCTTCCTTGACCTCCTCACACAGTTAAGGACTTCCCTCTTTGTTTTCTCTGTTCTTTAATGATATCACTAATACTAGCATATTGTTGTAATTTCTTATGTTAGCCATTAAACCAGGGCTGTCCAACAAAAACATGTGAGCCACGTAATATTTTATTTTTTAGTGGTCAAATTAAAGTAGAAAGAAACAGGTGAAATTAGTTTTTTAATTTAACCCATTATGCCCATATTTTCAACATGTAATTAATATAAAAATGAGATATTTTATACTTTTTTGTTTTTCAAAATCAATGTGTATTTTATTTACAGCACCTCTCAATTTGAACTAGCCACATTTCAAGTGCTCAGTGCCACAAGTAGCAGGTAGCTACTGTATTAGACTGCACAGCACTAAAATAAAAGCCTCTAACCTAGGCCCTAGGGTCTGTTCTTTTCATCTTTGAACTCTCTCTAGACTAGAAGGTATCATTAGTGTATGCCAAATTAATAGATGAAATCAAGAAAATTTTGATTTAGATCATGGAAAGAATATGAAACCTAAAAACATACAGAGAGGTAGATTGGTTGTATTGCTAAAAATCAGTAATATTTGAGGACAACAAAAATAACTGCATCAGTATGTTTCAGCAACCTACTAAGAAAGTCAAACCACTTTGATTAGCCTTCTTTTGGAGAAAATCTTCTACGTGGAGCTGCTGCAAATAAATATTAGCCAGAGAAATAACAGCAGCTAACATTTAGACTGTGTACCACTGTTCTGAATGCCTTATACCTATTACCTCATTTAATCTCCAAAGGACTATTATTACCGTCATTTTATAAGAGGAAACTGAGGTTTAGAGCACATAAGTGACATGCTCAGAATTAACAAGCTACTAAGATGCAGATTTACTCCTAGGCAGCTTAACTACAAAGCTCTTTCAAGTTACCAAACTCCACTCTTTCTAATGCATTAAACGTAAATTATATGCAAAGCCTCATTTTAGGCATTGAAGTAGCTACAAGTTGAATGAACGGTTTAGTTAAACAAATATTTACTGTTAGCCATGTGTGAATACTAAGGCAGGTAAGACATAGTTTCTGCTCTCAAGGAGCCTGCTCAAGACAACCACCATATAACTGCGTATATTCATTATGAGGCTAAAGGAAAAAGGGATCGTTCTTTAATTTTGCTGTATGGTTAACAAGGTACCATGAAAGCGTTTTATAGGCATCAAAAACGGTTTTGCCAAAAGTTATGATAGCCAATAAAAGGAGAAAAGTGTAAACGCACACGATTGCCAACATCTTCTAACTTTTCCCTGCCAGTCGTTCTGACTCGACAGTACAAAGCGAGCCTAGATGTGGATGCCATATAAGTCACTAAAAAGAAAAAACCCGTTTCCTTCCCATACACCAACCTGAACCTTAATGCGCTCCCCATTCGTGTTCCGGCACCCGAGAGCGTCCCGCACGCTCAGTTTGGCCGAAGGCTTGTGTCTCGGGCAGGGAGCGGAGGAACAGAAGCGCAGGGCTCTGAGGAGGCACCGGGCCCGGAACATCGCGCGGCTACCCCAGGCCCTTCTCGGAACCAGCCCTGATCCCAGCGGATTCCGACCCTGCCTGCAGGGACCCTCCTCTCTCAGCCACTCCCCCAATTCCGGGTCACAACCCTGTCCTCAAGCGCTCTAAAGCCCCTCGGTTGCTCCCTCTCCTTCAGGGGCTCCAACTCTATCCCCTGAGAATTGCTCCTCTTCCCTCTCCCGGAAGGGGCGGAACGGAGACAACACATTCAGCGACGCAGACCGAGAGGAAAGCACGAGCCGCTAGCAGCCGGGACGCCACACACTCCCGCGTGGTTTCTAAATGTACGCCCTAACCCCCAGCAGAGAGGCAGGTAGCGACGCCACTACGTCATCACGCCAACGCTAACGTCATCACGCTACGAGTTGGCTAAGGGAGAGCATGCGTACTTGTGACTCCAGTTTAAAGAGGAGGTGGAGCGGGGGAAGGGGGCGGGGTCAGGAGCTAAGACTGGGCAGAGCTAAGGCTTTAAGGTTGTAGAGGTTATAACTGGAGGAGCCCGCTTGGAGCGGGCTCCGTAGAGTCCTAATTGCTAAAGCATCCAGCTGATGCTGAGGAACACTGACAGGCAAGGAGTGACTGTTGAAGAAGGAAGGCGTCGAGAAGGAGACCCAGTTGTTGAGAGGGTTAGCCTGAAGGTATCAGTCGTTTCTGATTTCTTAGTACAGAGAAAGGCAAGACATGCCCTTTGCTCAATTGACAGTTGTGTGGCATCAGACTCTAAACAGACAATAGCATAAAAGAGTGATCAGTTCCCTGGCAGAGCCTAAACGTGGGCTGCCAGAGATGGCTGGAGAATGGAGCCCTCTCACAAGTAAGAAGAACTGAAGAGATCCTGAATATAGAAGTCAGAGAAGACTCCACAGTGTGAAGATGTTGGAGAGAGACCGAGGAATGTCGGTTATTGCTTGTCAGAATCTTAAAGTCTCTCTTTTTTTTCCCAACACAGTTATCTGCATTTTTTTTTTTTTTTTTGGACCTGGAAACATTGACCCTTTTATTTTTTAGGCTACCTTTTATATTTATCCAACAATAAATTTTTTCCCTGTAAATCAGAGACAATCATGAAAAGGTTTCTAATTAAGAGAGAGAAGAAGGGCTAGTTACTTAAATTTGCCACTATTATTATGACCACTTTACAGATAAGGGATCTTAGGCACAGGAAAGTTAAATAGGCACAGGAAAGTTAAATGGCTTGCTCAAGGATATCATACTATAAATGTGAGATTTAAACCCCCAAATCCTGGCTTCATGCGCTAAACTATAATACTATACTGTGTCTCAAGGTGGGAAATAAAAACATGGTCCCTTCCATCAAGGAGCTCATGGTCTAAAGATAGAAACTGGCAAGGAAACAGATCATTGCAACATAAACTGATAAATACACATAATTGGACGCAAGTGAAGTAATACTCTAGAGAAGGAAATAAACTGAGTTTTTGAGAAAGATTACAATTTTGCCAATTTGGGATGTAAAAAAGAGCATGTGGTTTCTGCCATGTGGTGAACAGGAAAAGTTGCAGAAGAGTGAACAGCCTAGAAGAATTGTAAAATTGTTCTCAATACAGATAAGAAAATATTTCTTGTGGAGATACCATAGTTCTTGGGTACTTCTTGAACCTTCAGAAAAGAAATATGGAAACTTCCAGCCAAATGCCTTTAGAATTTCGTAGCTTTGGGCCATTAAAAGAAATAAGTATGCCTTCGGTGTATTGGTTACGAAATTTGGGGAATGAGACAACCTGGAGTAAACAGCAATGACTCGTTTCCTAGTTCAAATCTCTTTAAATACGCCTACCATGTCCAAGTGACCAAAAGTAGTGACCAGTTGGTTCACTTTCTACCCACGGCATTTTGTCTATATCAAAGAATATCATTATCTTATTTTTGTTTTCAAAATGGGTATCGCACTTCCTCTTTTAGATTCATCACCTTTCAGACAGTAGCCAGAGTGATTTTTTCAAAATTAATATATTGCCATGTCAATAATAGTGGCTGGTGCAATAGAATGTGTATGTGGCAGTACACCTTCACATATTCACTCATTTAATCCTACAATAGCCCTCTGAAGTAGGGTTAGTGTCATCATCCCGTTTCCAAAAGAAAAACTGAAGCTCAGAGAGATTTCAAGCTTGTACTGTTACACTGGCAGTCTGACACCAGAGTCCTTTTTCCTACCCACTTGTTACTCCAGTGATTAAACAATGCTCCAGTTGCTCTCCCTACAACACAAACAGGATTTCCCTTCTTTAGCACATGTAGGCTCTCTATGATCCAGGAAGTTCCCTCAGGTGTCTTGGGTGAAATCTCCTTAGAGTTAACTTTTGATATGGCAAGTGTGTGCAATGAATACTGTTGGCATTACTAGTCAGCTTTGGGGAAGGTTTTAAGCAGGTTCAGCAATGTAGGTTTCAGCTTAAATTGTAAAGCTCAGGGCTTCTAAAAGGCAGGCATTACTCTGATACCTTATGTGGTCATGGAGTACAACTCAATGTTCAGGGTTTTCATTATGCTTGAATCTATGCATGAAATGGTCAACACCCAAAACTTGATTTCAAGGTCATGACCTCAGAGTATAGAGGAACATAGTACTTGATGAGGAAATTATGGAAACACTAGGTGTGGAAAAGGAATGAATGAATATTGGAAAGGATATTGGGTTTCTCTGAAGGAGCTAACAATGGTGAATGTAATTTAACTTGAAAAATGGAAAAGTATATGCAAAGAGCAGAAAAAGAAGTCACATATGTAGTTTAGAACTTTCAGAAAAGCAGCTCATAACCTAGAAAGAGAAGTTGACAAGTAGTCAATTAAAGGAATAAGCACAGAAGAGCAGTAGTAGCTAAGTCTTGGAGGAGAAAGGCAGTTTTCCTAGAGGAAATGACATCTAAGCTGAGACTAGAGAGTGAATATTAGCCAGCAAAAGGGGAATTGTGTGTGGTGAAGGGAGTTACAAACATTCTATTTTGTAATCTGGGTGAGTTTACCGGGATCACATATGCAAACATTCCCTGAGCTGTGCATTTTACTTACATATACCTCAATAAAAATATAAATTAAATGTTAAAAATAGAGGAATCAGGTTTGTTGCTAGAATTGAAGCATCCTAAAAAAAAAATTATGCTCTTTTTTAAAACATGTAAACTCTTTCCTGCATTTAGAAGAATTTAGAGGATAATGCAATAAAACCTGATAGCTACCACCTAGGTTTGTCACATCATATTTTGATATTTTGTTGTTCACACCTCCTTCCCATTTTCTTTTATTTCAAGGAAAAATAAAAACCAGACACAATAAATCCCTTGTACCTCTCTCCTTTCCTCCTGGATAGAGGTAACCACTACCTAGAATTTAGTTTATTATTTCCTTCCACGTTCTTATAATTATATAAATACACACACATACATATATGTACACAAATATGTGTACATATATGTATATATACAATATATATCTGTAAACAGTCTCATTGTTTTGCATGTTTTAAAACTTTAAATAAATTTAGTTTTTTAGATCTATCTGTGTAACTCTAGTTTATTCTTTTTTAATATTCTGTATTATAACAGAATGTACCGCAACTTATTCTCATTCTGACAGTTATTTGGGCTGTTTTCAATGTTTTTCTATTACAAGCAGAGGAGGATTTGCCATGAAGCTACTGAAATTTAAGCTCAGAGCCCCTTATTTGCATGTATGTCTTTCCTCACCTTTCTTTAGCATTCCTCTCCTGCACAGTGCAGGGAGTTGTAGAGTGAGGGGAGAAGCAATCAGAAAGCATTTATAAAGAACTCAGAAGAAAGAGAAATGGATTTCCAAGGCTCTAGAATTTTCTTGTAACTACTTTCCTCACTCTAAATACTTAATATTTGTAATTTTATATTATTTTCCTTAAAGAGACCCTCCCAAATTATGTAAAGCTTCAAGACTCACAGAACTGGATGTACCTTTCATTACAAGAATGCTGCAATAAATATGCTAGACACATGTGAAAGAGTGCGTCTGGATCATAAGCGGAGGGCATATGCATCTCCGGCTTTACTAGGTACTGCCGAATTGCTCTCCAAATTGGTGGTTCCGATTTATACATCCTCCAGCAGGCTTATAAGAGTTCCCAGAGCTCCACACCTTTAGTGACAACTGATAGAGTCAGACTTTCTAATTTTTACCAGTTAGTTAAGCAAGAGTATCTCAGTGTTTTTAGAGATTCTGTGTTTTTGATTCTCATTTTTCCTCAATATTCCATTTTGCCTATAACTCCCATCATTTTCGATAGCATAGTGAAAAAGAACACTAGCCTGGATGTCAGAAGGCCTGGTTCAAATCTCATCTGTATGACTCATTAGCTGTGCAATCTTTGAGAAGTCACTTAAACTCTAGACTTCCATCACAGGGCTGTTGACATTATTAGCTGAAGCATTTTGTGAGTTTTGCAAGAGAAATGCGTATTATGTCTGACTGAATGCTCTTCATTTATGAGTTTTGTTTTAGAGTTAGAGTCTCCTAAATTTCACCCAAATCACTCTAAATCCCAAAGCAGAAGGCTCAAAATTAACCATCTATTTTGTACATCTCTTCAGTGTGCCGAAGAACCACCAGCAGAGCTCATTAAAAATTGCAAATTCCTGAGTCTCCTAATATTCTAACTTGCTTTGAGAAACGCTCCTTGTGCTGTAATTGGATCTCATCCTTTCCTTAGTTTCTTCCTTTTGATTTCAGGAGGTCCTTACTTTGAGACTTGAATATCTTTTTTTATATTGTATTATTATTATTATTATTATTATTATTAAATTTCCAATATATATGTTTCCAATGTATTTTCAAAGAAACTGTAACAAAACAACCTACTGTCCAAGCTGCCTTCTTGGTTTAGAGTGAGGGAGGCATCTGTGGGCGGTGGGTGGAGTATGACCTCAGAGGGTAGCAGGAGCCCCTTCCTCAGCTGGCTCTGCAGGGGCATCAGTGTAGTCTGCATTGAATATGTTGTTCATACACTGTACACACAGAACTTGTATATCTGCAGGATCCATTTCTAGAAATAAGACCCTCCAAAATTTTAAACCATCTTTAATGTCGTTTTGTGTGTCCAGTAACTCTCCTCACCTACATGTTAAGATATTGATCTCACCTTGGTTAGTTTTACTAACCAAGGTAATTTCTATGTTTGGCAAAGACCTGGAAATTTAGAAAATATATTTCTATAATGTTCTGTGACCACATTGTAGGTTAAAGAAAACATACTTACTCCCAGTAGTGCCTAAGTGTTTTTTTTTTTTATATATCACTCTTTAAAATTTAAATTTAGCAGAGATTGGACACGAACTGCCACTAATGG